AGTATTCTCCTAGGGAAAGAAAAGCTCAAAGGTGCCTCTTACTTTGTTTAAAAGGCCAAACACATTTGAGATACGGCTGACAGTAAATTTATCCAGATCAAGTGTGGGTATCAAATTAAAAACGTAACTTAGTGCTACAAAGCTCAGCAATGGTGGGGTCAATGCAATAGTTTGGCTCATTATGGGAACAAATTATCGATGGTTATGTTGGATGAAGTTACTTTGGAGCTAGTATCTGATGATCCAGTGCGAGTATTAAATTGATCTATCAAAAAACACATGATTAGAGGGTCCAATTTCCCTGATCGCCTCAGTGTTCTTATCATGTTCATGCATTAGTTGGAACACCTCAAAAGTGGAGATACTTAACTTCTATTTTTCTTTTCCCTTTTGTGGCTTTTCATCTTTAAAAAGTGTGTTCTATTAAAAATAGCATGATTGTTGTAAGCCAACAATGAGAAAGAAATTAGTTAATGATATAAAGTTCCTATTTTATTTGTTACGAGTTACAACACTGGATCATCAGATCCTAGCTCCAAAGTAATTTCATCCAACATAGCCTTTTTTTATCTTATAGTTAGTACTTTGGTTGTCTTTCTTTACTTACCTGGACGAAGTTGTAGACAGAGCTATTCAAAGATGCTCAGACATCTCTGGCAAATATATAAGGCCAACTAAAGTTATTAATTTTTGCAAGAACATGGGCTTCTTAAGCTTCTGAATTAACCAAAATTTTGCTCATTTTAGACTTGATATATAAGGCTAGGATACAAATTATACATGAACTAAAATGCGTAAATTATATCGCACAATACTTTATAAAAGCAAACTTTGATGGAAAGTAGAGAAAGCAACCAAAGAGGGCACATCTTTTCTCTCTTTGCATATATAGAATATTAAAACCCCTCTTAAACAACTAAAAAAAGAAGTCCTCGCTATTGTTGCTTATTTTTTAATCTGGTTCACTAAAATATTCAGAGATTAAATTCCAACAAGATATAGTTCCATCCACTCAATAATATAGATAGCACATTTCTACGATAGCAGCTTTGTCTTTTTATTAGTTACATCTCGTGAAGTTTTGAGTTTTGGACTATTGTAACTTTTAGACATGGGATTGCATGTGCATCACCAACCTGTACTAAATTTTAAAAAAATAAAAATATCAAACCTGGTTGTTTTATCCATGTTAATTCAATAAAATTTTATATTTAAGAGTAAGAATTCTCGTTTCTCCAATATTGCTAATAGGAATACACATACAACTCGGAAGTGCATACTTGATGCATACCTAACAACTTTAGTAGAAAAAAAAAAATCCATGAACACAAAACAAATCCATCAGATAAGGCTCAGTTAAAATTTCAACACAGCCTAATTTGGGAGGCTAGTTTCCATCTTAAACTCAGAAAACCACACCCTTTAAAATGAATTGCCCCATGATACCAATCAGCAGAGAAATAATGCGATGGCAAACCAGAAAAAGAATCAAACTATGGTCAACTATCTCAAAGCTTCAGAACATGAAGAGAAAAGAAAAGAAATACACAAAAAAAAAAGAAGAAGCTGCACTTAACAAAAGATTAGAACATAATGCAAGAGATTGAAACTCTGGTCCCTTACCCTTTTCCTCAAATTTTGTCAGCAGCAAGAGACACACAAAACAAGGGAAAGTGAAAGAGGAAAGAGAAAAAAAGCAAAAGAACTCACAGCCATGTCTGATAAACTGGGCTTGGGAAAAAGCCACTACCCAGAAATTGTAGTGGTGAATTGTTGAAGAAAGTTGAGATTTTTCCTTGGATCAGAGTGTGGAAAGGTGAGAGCTGAGAGAAGCGAAGAAGCTCTTGCAGAAAATGCAAAGACCCAGTGAGAGAGAGAGAGAAAGAAGGAAGCTTAGAGAGAGGTTTATGAACCACTAACCTACGCCACCGGTAATGTTTGACCATTCTCTTTTTCTCTCTGTAAATTCTATGTTTCTTCTGCTTCAAAGTCCTTCTCCCTCTACAGTTATGGCCCCTTGGAGGTGTGTTTTATTTGGTCACATGTGTGTGAATAAGTTACAAATAGACACAGAAAAAAAAAAAAAAAAAAAGAGATAAATGAAACTAGTAAAAATAAGTGAGAAATATAGTAAAAATAAACTTATTTTGTTTAAAAAATATGGGAAGATAAAATTTTAAAAAAAAAGTATTTTTAATTTTTTAATTAAATAACCGATTGGTTTCATTATTTAATTGATTAAATTCTTGATTTGATTTATTGTATACAAGAAATGATAGATACTTACTATTTAATCAATTAAAATGAATTTTTAATCTTCCTCTATTTTCTTTTTTCCTTTTTTTTTCTCTCTCTTCTATTTTCTTCTTCCAAAAATGCATGTCACAATAATTGTGATTGACTTCCCGCAAAATTTCCTTCATTATTCATACAAGTCCATGCCACGATCATAATAAATATAGTTAATTTAATATAGGACCTTGCAATATATCATTAAAATTCAATTTAGTCCTTATAACTAATCATTATCATTCAGTTTAGTCCTTGCAATTAATCTATTAATTTCACGTTGATCTCCTAGTAACACAAATTTATTATAATTCAATTTATTCCATGCAATAAAGTGATGCTTTAATCTTTTTCTTCTTGATTCTTTTTCATCACTTTCTTTATCTTTATTTTTTTTTTAATTCCTCTTTTTTATTTCTTTCTTTCTTCCTTTTTCTTACTTCCATTGTCTTACTTATCCAAGTTTTTTAGGCTCTAAACCAAAAAAAAATAAAATTATATCAATTATTTAAAATATTTTTTTCATATATTTTATTATAAAATTATTAGGATATTAAAAATAATAAAAATTATTCACAATAAACATATTTTATTTAGTATTTTTTTTTTAATAATTCATCTTATAAATCACTTTTAAAGTGACTTTATGTTATTAGATCATAAATGTTTAATGAATTATATTGATTAGATTGTTCAATGTGGATATGTTAGTTTTTATCATCATAATATTCAATGCCATCATAAATGTCTAATGAATCATCTTCATTTTCACTATTTTTAACTAAAATATTAGACTCTTCATTATTATTATATTATTTTTCATTCTCAAAATTTTTAACTTTGGAGTTTAAATTATCTAGATTTACATCATTTTCAAGAAAAATTATAGGATGTTTAAAAAAAAAATCTCTCAAGAATTCCCTTTTGACAATCAATATCAATTTCAATTTGTTTATTTCTTTTCCATTTTAGATGAACAGAAGGTTGTTTTCTATAAAATATGTTCAAAGTCAAACAATAAGACAAGTATAAACAAAAAACTAAATTATAATCTATGATTCAAATTATAAATTTTTAATGAGTAAATGACAATGAGAGAAAATAATAGTACCTAATTGCTTATTTTTAAACCTTCACCATGAACTCTCAATTTGTTGCAATAAAAGAAGTCAATAGTATATTATAGGCAAAAATATATTTTTCGTCCTTATATTATTTATTAGTGTCAATTTAGTCTCACTTTAATTAACTGAATCAATTTAGTCTCACATCTTTAAAATGTATCTCAATGTTTGACCTTCCATTTCCTCCGTTTAAAAAACTTAACGGATGTGGCATGACACGTGTCACATCCGTTAAGTATTTAAACGAAAGAAACGGAAGGTCAAACATTGAGATACATTTTTAAGATGCGAGATTAAATTGATTCAATTAATTAAAGTGAGACTAAATTGACACTAATAAATAATATAAGGGATGAAAAGTATATTTTTGCCTATATTATATTATATAGATCACACATTCCTTTTTATATTTAACATCACCGGTTTATTTTTTTTTAAGATTACAAGTAGATTTTATTGAGAAATAGAAAAATTCTATATCAATTAATTGATTGTTGTTGATTAATTTTTTTTTTTTACAATAATATTTTCTTATATGATTTAATTATGTAAATTTTATTTTTATATTTATATAAATTAAAAAAAAGGTTGGTGGCCCCCTAAAAATGGATTCCTAGATGGTCTCCCACCTTGACTGTGCTCAGGTCGTCACTACTTTCTTTTTTCATATCCTTTCTTCCTCGTTTTTGTTTCCTTCTTCCAAAGATGCATGACAACACTTGATTCCTAATATCAGTTACTACATTATTAGTACTAGTCTCTTTTAGTGACACACAAAAATATGGTTGGTTTTATAAGGACCTTGTAAGATATTATTAATATTCAAAATTAATATTTACAATTATTAATTGAAATTAAGTTTAGTACATGTAGCTAATCATTTAATTTCACATTAATCCTTTGATTTTGTAATACACGTAAATTCATTAAAATTCATTTAAGTTCTTATAGTAAATCATTAAAATTCATTTTAGTCCTTATAATAATGTAAAAAATGTTCATGAACTTTCTTTTCCTTTCAATTTTCTTTCATTCAAGGACTAAACAAAGTTTCATACACATTTAGAGATTACAGTGATTTCTTAACAAAAAAAATATTTTATTCATCCTTTCCTCTTTAGATATTCCTATGGTGATCTTAGAGTCATGTGTGTCTTTTGCCCAAATATAAAACATACTTTCTACTTTATTGTTGATCAATCTTGCAACTTAGGAGTAAAAAAAAAGCACAAAATGTACTTTCCATGTTTCATCTTTGTTTTTCATTTATTGCACATACCTATGAATGTACTTTCCAGGTTTCATCATTGTTTTTCATTTATTTCATTTATTGGAGCTTAATGATGACTATTGACATTTTGCTCATCATTTGAGGTGAAACAAAGGTGTTGACATTAGTCCACTAAAAAGAAAAAAGACTGTTGAACCAAAGATATATTGAATGTCTAGAAACACCTTGATTTTGATGATAACAAACCTTATGTGTTGTAATGGACTAACATTTTCAATGAGTTAATGCAAGAAACATAACAAATCTCTGATGTTAATTCATTGGGCATAGGACCTTTAGAGGGCAATATGTAATTTTTTGGGTTTGGTATCGAGTGCAAGTAGTGCCTCGTTGGGTGCCACTTCGAAAACATGTGAAGACTAGTGTATTGAGGTATGAAGCAGATTTGGTGGTGTTTAGCCTAGGGATATGATTCATAATGTTGATAGTAGTATGATAAGTGATTAATGTTGTAATTAAAAAAATGATTAAGCTACAAAAAGAAGATTGATGTTTTGGTTTTTCACACAATGATGCAAAGGGTCAAAAAGATTAAGAAGAATATGTCATCTTGTAATAGAATAGGTTGTATTCTTATGTGTATTTGTGTAAGTCTTGGTTGGGAAGATAAAAAGAAAGGTTAGGTTTAGGTAAAGCTAATCCCTGATCATAAGGTTTTTAAAACAAGACTAAAATTAATTAAAAAAAACACATTTTTATAAACTAAAAGCAACCAAGCCTCAAATAATAAAAAATGAATCAAGCTTAAATGGACCAGGCAAATCACTTTGATGTAATTGATTACTAGAGCAGAGCAACTAATTACATGAACACTTGGTTTTTCCAATATGCTTAAAATGTTATGATGTAATCGATTATATGAACAAAGTAATCTTTTATATGAGTTTTTGGAAAACCAAAATACTTTTATGTAATCAATTGCATAGCTAGGTAATTGATTACATGGGAGACAAGGTGTTTAGTGGTTGAGTTATAAATATGATGTCCAGTCGATAATCTTCAAATAATGAACCATATTGTCAATGTCAAACATCTTACAAAGTAGCTAATGTAGCCAATTATAGAATTTTAGTAATCAATTACATAAGGAAAAAATATAATTTAAAAAACAAAAACTTATGTTTTAATCGATTACATTATGATGTAATTGATTATAATAGTGAGACTTTGTTTTTGGGTAGTAACATGATCAATATAAACAATTACATGATCAAAGTAATCAATTATCAATGTGAAAATTTTCTATATAAACTCAACACATTTCACATTTTGAGAAGAGCTCTCATTTCGTCTAAAATTCAAAAGAGAGTGTCTAAGTTAGAAAAATGTTTCTTTCAAGAGAGAAAACTCATGTGAGCAAAACCTTGTGAAAGTGAGTGAATTCTTTATAGAAAAATTCTAAAGCTTTATCAATTTAAGAAAAGGTTTCTTTATGTATAAGAAACAAGAAACATCAAGGAAAAAGGCTTATGAACAAAGGTTTATTCATTATAGTCTTTTCTTTAATGTTTTTGTGTATATCCAATAGGGGAATGTGTCTCAATATAGGGTTTCTTGAGTTTACATGCTAGAGTAGGGTTCTTTAGGAAAAACAAAGTCAAGAGTATAACAAAGGGTTTTTGTTTGGGATTATATATAGGACTGCCTTAGGGTGTAGGTTTGGTTAACTATCTCAATCGTAATCACCTTTTAGCCTATAATGGATGACTTATGATCAAGGGTTAATCATAGAATATTGGATGTAACTTTTTGAGGAAAGTGAACTAATATAAATTATTGTGTGAATCTTTATCTCTTAGGTCATACTATATGAGTTTTTGAATTATGAATTGAATGTTTGTGTGTGAATTTAGCAAGGGAGATGATGGAATTTCTTCATAAGGAACGTCTTTTGAGTCATTAATGGGATCATTACAAGGGGTATAATTCTTACTAGCCTTGATTTTAAACTTCTTACCTAGTCTCAGCTAGGTAGCAATCCTCTCGAACAAGTCAAGCTAAGAGGTCACCTAAGAAGAATGATTTTATTCTTGTAGAGTAGGTGAGTTGTGTTAGTAGACTTTTCTTGGACTTCTTCTTCTAAGGCTTCTTCTTCTTCTCAATTCCATCATCATCATAATATACACAAACCTTGTTCATTCTAGGGTAAGGCTTCAACCTCATGTATTTTAGATTCTGAGCATTCCACTTATTTACCATCTAATCAACAAGCTTATCTTGGAAAAGGCA